GAAAGTTTGTTTGTCTGTCTCTCTTGGCGGTTAGAGTTCATGCGTGGGTCCATGTATGGGTTTAAAGGACAGCTGCCTCCCTTGGCAGTTATGTCACTTCCTGTTTAACATTTTATCTCTGGCCATTGGTGAATCACAAAAAAGAAATTGGAGTATCTTCACTCCAAGTTGAGTGTGTGTGCACTCTGGGATGATTGAGGGATTCTTGAAATGATTTTGCACTCAATCCAGCTTCCCTCTTGACCCAAAGGCACCATGTTTCATTGAGTATTTCAGATATTCAGTCTTTATCTGGCTTCTGGGATACAAGACAATCATATTACAAACACTCAATAAAACCGCATGTGACCAGAATGCAGCCACTTTTAACATCATCTCAAAAACATTATTATATAAATTCTGTTTTAAAGCAATCTCATTGGCTGCATGTCCGTTTGATATTTCAATTTAAAATGTTGTTCTTGACTTTTAAAGTCCTGCTTTTATAGCACTGAGCTATAGCTGAGCTTCTAACTCCCACTACACTCTGAGAATGACCTGTTAACTGTTACACACTTGCTCTCCTGCTTTCTTTTATGTTCTTGTTTGCGAAGCACTTTGTTATGGTTGTTTTGAAATCCCCTTTATAAATGAAGACACAATATTTAGAGCATATATTGTATTAAACCTTGTTTCATTTCAATCACAGTGAGATCATTCTTAATGTATGTTGTTGTGACTGATTAGGGAAACAATGGGGATTTGGTTCAGGGGGTTGGATGTTTTTTAAGAATATGTGCTTTTGATTCTGACAAAATATTTTAAAACTTTATTTGTTTCAAGTAATCTGAGACCAGTATGAGTGTAAAGACAACAACTTCATCTTTGTTTCAGAGCAAGTACTGGAAACAGTGTTAGGCAAGTTACATAGAAATTGTGATAAAAAAACAACGTTTTGTTTCACTTTTAAAAAATAGAAGAAGTTATTATTAATTACGTAATATCTGGGTTCAACAGTCGTGCAACAAATGTGTTTATTCAAGGGCTTTTCTTTTTAAGGATCAGCATAAACTATTACCACAAAAGATTCTTCCCCATAAACAGAAGTGATTTAAACCAAGAAAATAAATTAAGACAGAATTAGTACATCTCTCACGTCAGCAGTAAATGATTAAACTCAAGAGTAGAGTTAGTAAAATATCACTGCCATCCGCTGCACCCTGGTCTTTGCAAACTCTTCACCAGCCGAATACAAATTGTGTTTGGCAAGCTGTCTGCACAGCGTCTACAGCAGCTAATGTAATCTATGATACAATCTGGCCTGAGTGGGTTGGTAGTGCTGGTGCAGCAGTTTTATGCACACGCCTACATACACACACACAAGCAAAGAAACACATGCAAATGATAACATGGCTGTTTGTCAATCAGGTATGCTATGTGCCACACAGGGCCAAGAGCCAGAATGATTGCAGGTGATACTGGTGGTTTCCTGTCCCTGGTATACATATACACTTTTATGTGTATATGAGTGCCCATGCATCCATTTTCGCACACACTGTAAAGTACATCATTATCATGATTTGACAGCAGTGTGCAGAAGTTCACACTTCAATAAAAAATGAAATCAATTTTGGACTGTTTCTTTAGAAAATACAGCCAACAATGGTGTGAAGAGGGTCATTGTTAATATTTCCATCTTATTCAGCAGGATATTATGAGTTGCTGAATTTATTCAGAGCACATGAGACTGAATATGAAAGACGAGATGGAGGGAGGAACAGAACAATGGAGCTGCTTTTGATATTATTTCCCGGTCATCGGTATAAATGTAATCATGTCTTGTTGTGCTTTATGTCGCTTTATGTAATATTTTGCCTTAAAATTCAGTTATCTTGTTTTATTCCTATAATAGGGAACTTTTGTTTGCCTCCAAATGTTATAATACAGCCCAAGCCTTTTAATTTGTATACAAGTCGAATGTATAAACGGAATAAACTATATTTACTGTGCATATAGGACATGTTTTTAAACAGATTATTTGCCTTTGAGAAAGAAATAGGTTACACCAGATGGAGAGGGGGAATAGATGGTCTCATCCTAAAATCGTGAATAACTATTTGTGCATTATTTGACCAACTCAATATGGCTCGGGTATGTTTGAACTGCTGTCACTGTTTAGGTATTTCAACACTGTGCCGTAAAACATTGTAGGGGCTTCATATTTAATATTGAACTATTGTAAGACCTAGATATGACAGTATTTACAGCAACTCAAGGAAAAGCCTTATCAGGAAAAGTAAACTAGTTTGTGAACATTTGCTTTTGAATAGATAAGAATAGCAAATATCAATATGATAGTCATCACCAATCATGGTGTCTGTGTTGCACCACCTCCCTGTTACAGTACACTGTGTTCTTTGTGCGGATAAATTGATAAGTGAATAAGTCAGTAATGTTCATTGTCAGGGTCTTGTAAAGCACTGACCCCTGTCAGCCAGCACGTTGAATAAGAATGATTCAGCTCCTTGCCGTCACAGATGTGCTAATGCACCATAACAGCCAGGGGATTTATAGTATGCCTCCAAACAAAAAGCCAAACTGGGCTTCTATGCAAAAAACACGCTCCTCTCATGTTCTAATTCACTCATAAGACCATAACATGAAAATTGTTTGGGCAATGTTCAGTGAGCACACTTCATTTTCAATTACTTTTGTAAAAACGTTATATGGACTGTATAGCACCTTTAATGCATGTAGCTCAGTGTTTTACAATTAAAAACTAAATAAAAACAAGTAACATAATAAAATACTGAAAACATATAGATATATAAGTGTGAGATATACACTAGGTAATTTAAACTAGGTAAAACCAAAGTTTTAAAGGGCATAAAAGGCAATGCACATAAATAAGTGGCGCTAGAAAAAAGGTTGGTTAAAGAGTTTTAAGTGGTATATAACCTTTCCAAAAGAGCTAGCCTCTCTAATATATCTTGGTAGACTGTAACAGTTTGCGAGCACTGATGAAAAAAGCTAAATCTCCAGTTTTTATTGAAAGAATTAAGTATTAGCCATTGCTATGTCATTTAATACCACTGTGTTTTGCACAGAGACATTAATCCACTGCTATATGCACATACATTGGTGCACCACCATTGCTTCCTTACAGTATAAACTAGTCCAACCAGTCACTTTTCATAACAGAGCGGCTCCAGTGATGCAGCGTCCCCGAGCAGAAAGCAGGGTTAAAGGACCACAGATCTCAGAAGGCCTCTTTGCATATTTAAAACTGACAGCACTGTGGTCCGACAGACCACACACACACACACAGTTCACTTCTGTGCTGCTTTAAGCCATGGACTCAGAACATCACAGCATGTACATTTGGCCGATTATGCATGAAAAAGTCTCTATATTTTTAAACCAATGAGCCATTGAACTGTCAAATTCAATGACTATATTTTTTCATTGGTATAATAAAGCCTACAGCTTGTGTCATAAATTGTTTTTGAGGAATTAACAGATAAATTAAATAATCAATACAATGATTAATGAACATTAGGAGGAGAATATAGTGGTAAAATATGTGGTTGTGTCACAGAGACATGAATGTCAAACGTTATTAACAAATGACTGTAGGATGATTTAATTTAAATATTGTGGCACCTTGACAACCCAGATGACATTTTCTGTAGGTTTGTGTTACAGAGACATGAATCTTTATTAAAAAAAACATTAATTTGAAGACAAGACATGACATGTGTCTTCTACTTAAGCCAAACTCTTTTTTTTTGGCTGTTTAGACAATATTAACAAATTGCTGTAATGGTACGTCCACACGGTTCCGTTGCGTGCTTCAACGGAGATGCTTCCCATTCACTTTGAATGGGGTGACGTCAAGCTTTGCCGAACTGCATTGTGGTTCCGTCGCTTTGAATCCGTTGCTCGCTTCGAAACTTGACAAAAGTTCCACTTTTCAAGCGTCAACGGAAGCGGCAGCCAATCAAATCATATGCCAGTACAAACGCTAGCCAATCAAACCGCGTGCTTGTGTGTCGGGGCGGGAGATTCATGTGATTGGTTGTTGGTCGCGCGCCAGACACGCCCACCGGCAAGCTTCAACGCGACGGAACCGTGTGGACGATACGTAAGACGATTTCTAAAGGAGGTGAAAAGTCTCTGAAATATTACACTACTATTGATTATAATCATTAAGTAAATGCTATTTATAGTAGCTCATTACATCCTGTTCGGGCTCTTTAGGCAAAGGACAGGTGTGTCTTTGAAACCTGGAGGCTGTTGTAATTAAAACGTCTGGCATGGATCATGTAGAATAGCTTATGAATAATAGTTGAGACGGATAATTTTAAAGCCACAACCCCACTCACAAAAAGAGTGCTCAGATCCTGGCTTTGTGTAGTGAGACATAAATTAATATATCAAACGCTTGATTTGCTTTGCAGAGACAATTCAGTTACATTGGCTACTCAAGCCAACATAAAGCAAGTCGTGACTGTTTAAAAATGGTAACAACAGGAAGCCCACGCAGCGGACCACCCACCACTGCAGATACAGATTTGGATCAGGATTGCCTTCCAAGTGTCGTAACTGTGAATCTTTTCTTAAAGGAGAATGTTTAGCCTGAGCTGCTCTATAATGAAGATATGTGCAACAAAAGGGAATTTCCTTTGCAGCATACTAATAGCTGATAGTCACAAGGCCAGCCATGCAGTTGAAGTTGGATTTGCTGCACCACAAACAGGGTGAAGGCAGAGTTAATGGAGATCAAGGATCGACTCAGATGTAATGGCAGCAGGGGATAGGGTGTGAATGTGTGTGTGCAATTAGAGAGTCAAGTTTTTCAACAAAAAAGAGCAAAGGGTTGAATTTGGACCACATTCACCCTCATCCTTGCCTACCTGACACACTCTAACACACAAGAACATATACACACAACAACCAATCCAGGTACAACACCCTGCATTTTACAACCAGACTGAGTGTATGGTGGTTGTGAAGCCTACCTGTGACCTGCAGCTTGTCGTCAGTGACCTCACACTTGAGGAACAGACGGCCCCTCCTTTCGGTGTGATCGGTTCCACACATGCTGGGCACGTTCATCACACACTGATTATGGACATTCATATCACAGGCTGGAGGGACAGAGAAGAGGAGACAAATAAACATTACTGAATAAATCTTAATATACATAAATATTACCGTTATGGACAAACAAAACCAAACTGATATATATATATATATTTATATATATAATAATGTTATGCACTTGAATGATGATTCACAATGTAAATATCTGTATTGAATCAAACATAATATCAAACATCTCGCAATAGTTTTATTGAACATATTTGTTTTTGTATGTGTTTGATATTTGTATTTTCTATTCGATATTCATCTTCTTGACTTTTGCAGTACTAAGCTTGTTTGTTTTTTGCATTTCCTTGTATATGTTTAAAATATATACCAAAAAGGAAGGCAATATCTTGTAAATGAAAATCCTATCAGCAAACCCTATATTATGATTCTGATAAAAGCTATGTCTGCCACCCTATGGCTTGATGTAAAAATGCATTAAGCTGCTTAAAAAAAGAAAATCCTCCAGATTTGCTTTACCTGCAGTATATAAAGACATATTTAAATGTCATTCCATGTATCATACATGTTTGGCACAATATTAAAGGTTGTTATTTTTTCTTGCAAAGCTGTGAGAAAAAAGAGATAACAGGGTTATCGTTGGGATTTAGCCCTGTGATGTCAGGCCGTTATGGTATATGTGTCGGCTGAACCAGGTAAATGAATACTATATTTCTAAAAAGGGTATGCTTCTACATTATTCTCTATAAGAACTATGTATTGTGCGTGTATCACTGTAACAGTCCTGTGGCTCACCAGTGCTTAAAAATACTACAGTGCGATCTTATTGTGGTGTGATTAAGGGTGCAATTCATCTGCCAAAAGAATTTGCCGCTCCACATCTCTATTTATGTACACCCTGGAGCCATCATTAGGCATCACCATAGACTGTGTAACTGGTGGTCTGTAGCAGGTGGAGGATGATGTATGTAGGAGCTCGTAAGGCATTCAGACTAATCTACTAAAACCAGATTAAAAAGGGAAGGAAAGTGAGGAAGGGATATTAATAAAGGCTTGGCAAAGCTACTATTAACAGGCCTATTCAGGGTGCAGGGACATAGCTGCAGACTGGAAATAGACAAAGTGAGATTTTAATGAGAGAAAGTCAAGAAGGAGGGGAAACACAAAGGACCATTATCTTCACTGAAGAGGAACAATATGCTTTTTTCACTGATGATGAGTGGCTCCAACAACAGAACATAATCTGTAGAGCCACTTACAGTATAGTAAACCATTACTTTTCGATATATGCTATGCCTCATTGACCCTAAACAGAACAGTGCTGGTTTAATTTTCCTTCGGAAGCGTTCAAGTGTCAACTTAGGCCCTCCAGTACTTGAAACACAGAATACAAATGATGAGCTATCACTAATAAAAGCTGTATAGAAAAAATGCTGGATTTTAAACCAGGTAAGGTAAAACATAAAGTACTCACAGTCACACTTCATGCCCTGGTGGATGAGGCCGTAGAGCAGGGAGCCACAGTGGTCACAGAAGGTGGGGCTCCCATAGGTGTGGATCTTGAACTTGTGCTTCGTTCTGGGATCCTGGAAGAATATAAAGACAAAAAAGAGCCATAAAAAGCCTGAAGTGATGACATGGTTGAAGAAGTAAAGCAATTACCCATCAGTTAGTTACAGCTCCAACAGCTCATGCTATTTATTTACGTTAATTACAGGCTATGGAAGTCCTGAGAGGCAAATTCTAAGGTCTGATCTAAATGGTTTCCTCTCTGGTGTTAATATCTTAAAGAGACAATATGTAGGATTCGGCGGTATCTACAACTGCGGTTGCTGACAGACTCAATAACCTTCTGCGTAGCCCTCCCTTTACAAGACTGCAATAACAAGCCAGCGAGTGCAAAGCAACGGTAGCACATTGGTGTCTTTCTGGACCTTCAGCTCACTCCTTGGCCATCCTTACCAGAATGCTACTTCAGTAGTTATGCAATTCAGGTGGCAGATGGCCATGATTGCAACAGTTTTAAAAGGATGTCTCACTGCAGTGGCCTTCAACACAAAAGGCTTTCTAGAGCAAGAGTTCTCTTTGTCCGTCCTCCACTGCTGAAGAAACATGGCAGACTTTGTGAGGGAGATAGGAAGAGCTGATTCTAAAGTAATGGAAACACACATGTATTTGTTAAGGTGAACATACACCAATGAAAGCAAAGGTAAGGGTAGTGCATTTCATTTTCTTTCTCAAGCCCTTAATCTTTTAATTACCCACAAATGTCTAACTAATTACACAGCTACTCAAATCAAAGTTCAAATCAACCTGCTGCTTCAAAGGCTATCATTGTGCGTCACGAAAAAGTCTTTCAGCTGAAAATTCATTAATGATGCCAACTGACCGCAATTACAACTTCTCGTCTTTTTTTGAAAAGTGTTAGTCATTCATGAGTTACAATGTAACCATTGTGTTGGTGTCTCATTGATCACATGAGAATGGAGTTGTTTTAACTAAATGGGCATTCAATTCAAGAGCACCAACAAATGAAATTAATTTCATTAATCAATTACATGATTCATCTCATTTACTCAAAATAAATCTATGACGTATTCCACATTACCCGGACAATTATATTCTGAAATATGATCAGTTATTTCCCCACTGCAAAGACATTGCTTTTTAATTTTCACAACTCCATAGCAACTGTCAAAAACTGCATTATACTATATAATAATGTGTGTGCTGGACAAATAATAAAGTGCCACCTGCCTCATGTATGGTTTTCCTTTTGGCCATCCAGTAAATGTTTTTTGCACTTATGTGTAAATCTAGTCATCAAAGTCATTGGAGCTTTTCATTCATCATTGGCTTCTATGTTATTGCGGTTCATTGCCCCAGGCTCTCTTTAAGCCCTGTGATAGTCATTGTAAAAGAAACATTAGAGTTTATTGCACAGAGCTCTGAACAAGTGTGCGTAACTGGGTACTAAAGTGGCTGTTTGCACAAAGCTGAATAATGTCTTTGTAAGGACAATACACCTTTTCTTGACTCCTGCTATGTAACACTGTTTACATGCAGGATAAAAGTCCAGTGCTCCATAATTGGTTTTATTTTCTGTTGTTCTGACAAGATATCTATTTGCATGTTTACGTAATAAGCAGAGCAAAACGTATCACCTCCTGTAATCTACCACCAAATAAAATGCCTTCAAAAATATGTGAGAATAGTTATTGGCGAGGATGGTTCATATTTTATCACCAATTCTCCAAAAGTGTTAAGTGTGTTTTGATGGTGGTTACATGAGCATTTTAAAAGATGTAAAATAGGCTAAAACCTCTTATTGTAGATTTTTACTGCCACACAAATCAGACATCACATATAATTCTTTAACCTTTGAGTCACTTTATTTTTAAATTCGTTTTTAGTTAGATCATTTAAGTCCTGTTGTTAACTTGTTGTTGCTGATCTGAAAAATGATATGATCAAAGACAACCTTGTTCAGTCTCATTTGATTTTGTGATCTGTGGCACACCTTCTTTCTGGTACTTTTACTGACGCTTACAATCACACACTAACCAAACAACCTATCTCTTCTGTTTGCACTTGTTATTCCAGGGAATTTGCATGGGCGGCTTCCTTTTCTAGTTTGAAGCAAATGCAGAGCCCTTCTTTTTATCAGGTACTCATCACCATTGGCTGGGGCTTCATCCATCATACATTTAGACAATATGGGATCCAATGTGAAAAAAAGAGTAACATTTCCATACAACCAGGCAGAGATGAAGGATAAACACGTGTTATGAGAAGTGAAATATTCAACTCCCCAGCAGAAAGTGCTTTGGTTGGTGAGATAAGACATTTATTGAATTTGCAATTCAATAGCGTCTGTGCCTTAAGTAAATATCTCTGGGTTCGAAGACAAACATCTTTTTATGTGATCTGTAGAGCAAACAGAACCAGTTATTGCCTGTTTTATTATGTATTCTAATGCAAACATACAGCATGATACATGTGTATACCTGAAGTATGGTGAATGGGACTGTAATTCAATTGAAGTTCCTCTTGAAGGTAAGCGTCACAACACAGATCGATGACAGTGCCCCTGCAGCATTTACAGTATTTTAAAATATACACTGTGAAGTAAGGCCCCTGACGTGCATTCATTCATCTCGTGAACTCAACCTGCGGCTTATGAAGCACTCTCCTCTGAAAATATCATATATCTCAGTGAGGACTGACAGTATTACACTATGTGGCGCCACAATAATCAATGTTGCTGTTTGCCATTCCAGTCAGCTTGACACTGGTCTGTAGTCTTATGCAACAGAGCAGTCTACAGAGGCTTTAAAACTTTATAGGACAAAGGGAAAGGCTTCCTTTGTTTGTCTTTCAGCCATCCACACATGTATATGAAGGCCTGAACTGAAACAGAGCTGAACAAATTACAGTTACCACAAACACACTGTTGGACACTAGGGAAATAAACGCAGCTTGCAGTGGCCTCTACCTAAAATTCAAAAAAGAGAGAAGATGACTTGACTAAAATGCAGAAAATCTCTGCCCTGATTAAGTAATCACTGAATCATCACACTTCATTAACAACAACACCAACCATCTGTGGAAATGTTCATTTAGTGCTTAAGGACACTGAAAGCATCCTTTTTATGCCTAGGAAGATATCAGACATTTTTAAATTAGCAACACTTTATTTCAAATCACATATATTAATGTTTATCCTGATACTAACGTTTAATAGCAGGACTTAAAGTATTTTATTCAAAGAAATCAAGTTTAACATTTCAAAAACTCAATCTCCCAATAAGCATGTCTCCGCCTTTAGGTCTTCATTTCATTTCAAACCTTTATTTATCCAGGTTGTATCCCATTGAGATCATTGATCTCTTTTTCAAGGGAGACCTGCTCAAGTAGGTTCCACATGAAACATTAAAAACATAAACAGAACAACAAAAAGGACATCATACAGCATCATTACAGGGATTACAATTTACATAACTATCCACATGAACAGGTACCAACAGCTTCCGATTGAGTAGCATCCAACCGAGCTTTAAAAACATTTAGTGGCACCAGATTGCTCAGTTTCCATTTCAATTGCAGACTATTCCAGGACAGTGGAGCTGCGCATCTAAATGCTATCTTCCCTAGGACAGTCCTAGCAGTTGGCACATTTAATAAAACCACAGCATGCGATCTCAGGCAGTAGCCACTTACAATTCGCCGTGAGATCAGGGAGCAGATGTAGGATGGAAGTTTCCCTAACATGGCTTTGTATATCAAAATGTACCAGTGACTGAGCCTCCGTACAGTTAGCGAAGGCAAACCTGCCCTTGCATACAGGGTACAGTGATGGGTTAATGCTTTACAGTTTGTCACAAATCTCAGTGCACTGTGATACGCAGCATCTAACTTGACCAGGCAATTGGCAGGTGCATTCATATAAATCAAATCACCATAGTCCAGCACAAGTAAAAAGGTCACAGAGACTAGCCTTTTCCTGGCCTCGAGCGAGAAACAGGACTTGTTCCTGTAGAAGAAACCTGGCCTAACCCTCAGTTTTTTAAGCAGGTTTTTGACATGACGTTTCAAACGCTACTACTAACGCTTCTGCATTAGTAGTAAGATGCTGATGGTCGGCTTATCTAAGATATCCATCATCTTAAGAGCATTTAACTCCTCCCTCACAACGCACAGTAAGCATAAATAATACAGCTGAGGCAATCTGCTGAACAAATAATCACATTCAAACCAGTCAGGTATGCAGTATGATTACTGACTTGAATGAATTAAACTGGGGGGTTAAACAGAGCCTGTATTCTGGATCTAGTTTTGACAGCAGGTCTGAACAAAACAATTGATAACCCCTGTTCAGAATACAAATAAGTTCCAAATAATACGTTCACTTGTATTCAGTTGAAAGTGTCAGCTACAATGCCCAAAATATTTTTGACATTTTGGCAAATCATGAAGAGAGCATATTACATAATCACATACAGTGCACATTTTCCAATTAGCAGCCCAGACCACACAGTGCACAGGCCAGCAGTCAGTGTGTCAGAGAGAGACAGACAAGACATGGAGAGATAGGCAGACAGTAGAGAGAGGCTGCACCAGCTGCACTTACTCATGTCCTCCCACACACAGCTGATCCTGAAGGATTATCCTTTTGCCCTCCACCCCCTTTGCTTTGTTCCCTCTCATCTACATGAATGAGCGATGGCGAATAAGAGCCATATTCAGCTGCACATGGATCATGGATTTTTATAAACTGTCACATCAGCTTTTGATGGGTGGAACATGGCTTAAATGTTGAGAGATTACATCAAATAGTTACAACAAAAAGACATAATGATAACAGGCCGACTGAGGTGATAGTGTTGAATCAGCAAAAATCTCCTTAAGCTTTGAGAGCTGCTCGACTTGCTGTGTGGATCTAAAAAGTGGTGAACCACCGCAATAGACTGTGACAACTGACACTTGCCCTTCTGATTTCGTCGAAATGATAGCTTTTGTGTAAAAAGTGAGAGTGTGTCGCCTCAAGTTTAGTTCTTGTTTGTGCAGTGTCAGTCATTATTTGTAG